CGAAATAATTGTGGTGGAGTACTGAACAAAAGCAGTCACTCTCTTTGGACTTTAACATTGTTTCTGTTTCTCATCAGGATAGCACAACTTCTCTGTCAGGTGAACAGAAGTCTGCATTTTTTAAAAACTGGAATAATTGGCTTGAAAATCTGGTGCTTCTTAACACGAATATGCTTATGTTTATTTCTTCATTCAGACTAAATCTCTCAATCTCTGTTTCATCAGCAGGGGGAGAGGGAAACAATACAGAGCAAGGGAAGAAGAATGAAAGACTGAAACCAAGGAGACGAAGGAGGGAGTCTGGGAAAAAAACTCCTCAACCTTCTTAAAATTTACTATTACGCTGCTGGAAAAGAAAAACTAGAAACAACAACAACCAACGAAACAAAAATACCAAACCCAACCGATTCTGTCGTTGTAAGCATGACCTGCCGACAGGCAGGCATATTCTTGTGATATTACCAACTATACCACCCAATTTAAATGTAACAGTACACACTAAAATTGAGGACAGAAAAAAGCCCAATCTTATACTTGGAAGAGTAGCAAGAGTGACACAGATGTGCAAAAAAATCATGCCTCCACCCATGATCTAAATCAGATCTGCTTCAAGTAGGCCAAGCATTGCTCATTTTAATTTAATGAAAATTACCACTTATACTCCAGTCAGCTTAAACCTAACATTAATTAAACATTTCATTTGTGGCTGGCATCTTTTAAATAATACTGTAAATGCAGCATCTTCAAAACTATTGTCACACACCTTTTGTCATGAATTCTGTGACGATGTAGATTGGTTCCTCAGAAACAACTGCGTACAGCGGAACAAGCTTGTCATGTCGTAATTTCTTCATGATCTGAGCCTCCTGCAGGAAAGCTTCTGGCATCATTGTACCAGGTTTTAGTGTCTTGATTGCTACTTTTGTGGTTCCATTCCATGTTCCTAGATAAACAAATCAGATTTTAGTCTCCACTACAATACTGAAGAGATTTTTTGCTGAAACGTGTTTGCTTTTTGCTTTTGTTTTCTTAGCTAACAGAATAATTATAAACTAGAACTATACTGAATATTAATTTTACCTTTCGTATCTGACCATGTTTTCCACCCCCTCAATCCTTTATCAGATTATCTTGTCAGATCCTGATACTGATTTACTTAAAATACTACTAAGACATTTGCATGAACAACTGAAATGTACAATTAAGCTCTTACCCATCCATACTTCACCAAAACATCCTTGGCCCAACTTAACTTCCAGCCTCAAAGATTCTCTAGGGATTTCCCAGGCATCTTTTGCTAGTCCCTGTGTTTGTGGTTTCACAGTGGGACACACAGTTGTTAGCTTATGACACAGCCCATCGGCATGTTCTGGAAAACAATAAAAATAAGCATCGTTGTTAATCAGGGATAAGACTGTAACAAAACTAACATCCTAATGTTTATAAATAGAATTAATCCACTTACTGTTTGTCAAAAATCAAGAAGAAGTATTAGAGTTGTAAATTCTAAAAATAAGCTAAGTACACAGTTTTTCTTCTTTACAAGGTAGCATTAGGATGCTAGGACTTGTGCTTACCTCTGTAGTGTTTCACAAGCTTCTGTAGAGATTCAAATTGTGCTCTGGTTGTGATATAGTATCCACCATTGTCAAGTTTTCTGATTTTGTAGTGTTTCACATTATCCCCTCTGACCTCATCCCAGTCACGTATAGAAAGGGAGTAAGCACCTAGGAAACAAGTCATACTTGGTTCTTCACCAAAAGTTTAAAAATGTATTTAACATATCTTAGAATCACAGAAGGGTTTGGGTTGGAAGGGACCTTAAAGATCATCTAGTTTCAACCCCCCTGCCATGGGCAGGGACACCTTTCACTATACCAGGTTACTCAAAGCCTCGTCCATCCTAGCCTATTACGAATACTTCTGATCATTAACATAAATTAAGCCCCGTAAGAAATAAAACCCATAAAAAATATCTCCCCAACTGTCATTACACACATAGGTGTGTGCACATGCATACGCATAATCTGACAGACATAAAAATGGTCATTATGTCCACCTTGGTGGTGGTGGGAATGGGAGATAGCAGACACATACATAAATATACTTACCTTTAGTGGTTTCACTCTCTCTTACTAAGAAAATACCACGCTGGTTCCCAGGATTTAGAAGTAGCCTTTCTGCGTCCTTCCTGCCCATCTTACCAAAATACCACCTAGAAAATGTTGAAGAAAATGTGTAAGTAAAAGCTTCCTATGCTTTGGTAATCATATAAATACAGGATTCAGAAATATCAAGCACTAAGTGGACTACTGATATCCCAAAGCAGTTACAGATCAGTGAAAGTAATGACAGCCAAATAATCAAAAGATTAAGATGACCCATTACTATATGACTTTCATTTCTCTTCTTTGCAAAATACATGTAAAGAAGCCTCTGTCCATGAGTACTATGATTTTCTGATGGTTTAACAATGGACCTCAACAGTACTTAACATTGAAAGTTAACACCTCTTGGTTAAGAAGTTCACATGCTCTGGTAGCACACTCAAAACATTGCAGCAGCTGAAATCACCTTCCGTGTGTTAGAAAACAGTATTTAGTACAAAGTGGGTGTGCATAAATAGGATCATGGGTTCCTCCAGGTTGAAAGGTGCCCTTGGGAGGTCTCTGGTCCAGCCTCCTGCTGCAAGCAGCGTCAGCTGCAAGATCAGGCCTGTTTGCTCAGGGCATTATCCATTCTGGTCTTAAAAATCTTGAAGGATGTACCCCGCACAGCCAACCTGGGGAACCTAAAACCACTGCCTGGCTGTCCTCAAGATAGAAAGGGGTTTCTTCTTATATCCATGCAACTTCTAATGCATCCCATCCTTCTCTATCTCAGTAGAGGGAGCACTTTTTTCTACTGACCGTTTAGAAACAACCAGCTATCATTTAATTCTCCATGAATAACACTCCATCTCTGTTGCAACATTCTGATACCAAAAAGTACCTGTGTTTTCTCTTGCCTTAAGTCATTTCACAAAAATAATTTCTTCTTTTATGCTCCCACAGAGTGCTCACCCTGATGAACTGCTTGCACACAGCTCTGTCTTGAGCCAGTGATACAAGGCCCATCTCACAGCGAACCACCAGACTTTGGAATAACACTTATTTCTAACTACGTTTTATTTTTATTGTATGCCTCAGAAGCATAAATTTCAAACGTTTTCATTTGGCACTGTCATAGCATCAAGCAAATATGCCGTTTATGAGTGTTGGGAGAAGAAAAGTAGCACTGGAAACTCCTGCAAAACAATGGTTTTGTGGGAGAAACATTTTGTGGGGGGAAAACGTAAGTAAGGAGAGATTATTCTCCTAGCCTGTGGAAAGAATGGCACGTGCAATCATTTGGGAATTTGAAACTTACTCTTACTTTTTACTGTGATTGCAGTTTGACTGCTTATGTAGATGTGCAAAGTTAGAACTGGATGTGAGAGTGCATACACTTGAGACAGTTTGGATGTAACCTATAATCTTATTGACACAAACTTGAACCCTGCTTAATTACCTCACATCCTCCGCAGACTACTACAACCATTTACAGACTATATTGCAGAGTGCTATTTTATTTCATTACCTGTAAAATAACAGTAGGGTTTACTTGTTTATATGAGCATTAAACATTTCTATTATGGTATCATTCAAAAGGCACATGGATAATATGGATCCTGTGACAAGCAGTTTGTGATATAAAATGCCTTCAGGCTTAGAAAAGATCACTTAAAGAAAATCCAAGCAACTTGGGATATGTATTGCTTTTGCACTTGTAACTGCAACCACAAAACAAAACCTACAAACCCTATCAAAGCCCAGGGCTAACAAAATGAACTCTTCATCAAATGAACTCTATTCCAAATGCTGTGGCGGTGTTTTGCCAGTCTTTAGGAACCATACTTGCTTTGCAGAAACTCTGCGTTCTTAGTTTTCAAAGGGCTATCGTTTCATTTTACTACCCCTGCAGCTGTAATGTCAATATGTTTTTATTGCACAGTTTAAAATAAAACAAAAACCCAATAATCCTTAACTTCTCTTCAAAAAAACCTGAAGTCAATGATTTTAAAAGCAGCTCAAATTCAAGGGCATAAAAATAACAGTACGTCTTTGATACAATCTTTTTAGTAGCAAAAAGCCAAGCAAAAGCAGTAGTAACATGCTAGTCTCAGCTTGAGATTCAGGAAAAAACTTGGAAATCAGGCACTTTTCCCAGAAGTGCGGCAGCAAACACAGAAGTGCACAGACTGCACGTCAGGAACTGCTTACTGGCAGTACCATGCCAGTATATTGAAGCAAGAGGTGCAGAGTTATATATTTCTAGTACAACGAATACAATCAATCCCTTGGAACAAGTATAACCTGGAACTGTACACAAGTCACAGCTCCTACAGGAACTCTATGCGATCCTGTAAGTGCTCTGGGATCTTTGTAAATAAATGCAGGAAGTAGTGGTACCAAGAAAGCAATACAATTTTCCCAATTCATAGTAATCCTTACAGTGCCTAACAACTTTGTCACCAAAAAGTTATTAGAGATTAGCAGTAACAGTCCACACAAATGGGTATTTTTAGAGTAAGATTATTAGTAAGATTAGGAGCTACCAAGGATATAGCTGAATTTGAATTAGGTTTGGCAGTGTGTGCTCACAGCCCAGAAAGTCAACTGTATCCTGGGCTGCATCAAAAAGAGCATGACCAGCAGGTTGAAGGAGGTGATCCTGCCCCTCTACTCTGCTCTCCAGAGACCCCACTTGAGTATTGTGTACGGTTCTGGTGTCCTCAACATAAGAAGGACACAGAGCAAGTCCAGAGGAGGGCCATGAGGATGATCAGGGGGCTGGTGAACCTCCCATATGAAGATAGGCCGAGAAAGTTGGGGCTGTTCAGCCTGGAGAAGTGCGTGGAGACCTCATAGCAGCCTTCCAGTATCTGAAGGGGGCTTACGAGAATGCTGGAGAGGGACTCTTCATCAGGGACTCTCGTAAGGGGCCATATGTTCAAACTTAAATAGAGGAAGTTCAGGTTAGGCATAGGGAAGAAGTTCTTAACTGTGAGGGTGGTGAGGCACTGGGAAGAAGTAAATGCTCCATCCCTGGCAGTGCTCAAGGCCAGGCTGGGCAGAGCCTTGGGTGACACGGTCTAGTGTGAGGTGTCCCTCATGATGATGATCTTAAGGTCCTTTCCAACCCTAATCATTCTATGATTCTATAAACAAAAATAAGAACAAAAACCCAGAGTTGATGGTGTGTGAACTCTTTAACTTTAACCCATTATTTCTGTGTTATATGAAGCACAATGTAACTTCCCCAATTCTTACCTTCATTATTGTATTCTATCCTTTTTCCTTTAGCCCATATATAGCAACAGGCATAAAACATTTGTATGAGTGTACCTCACACTTATTAATAACTGTACCTTTGACATCATCCAATTAGCATTGTTATCTAATCAGTAGTATTATCCTACTTTACCCTTAAATGTTACATATACTGAATTAAGGTAATAGTGTCACCACAGGGCACAATGTGTAGAATGGATAAGTAAGAAGAGATTGAAAGGATGTGATGTCTTACTCTTCTGCTTGAATGGAGTCTGCAGGAGCTACATAATTGCTTGGGATGTAGCCTGTTTTTCCCGTAGCAATGGATCTTGCTTCCCACCAGTCTCCTTCCCTGCAATGGAATATCAGTTATCTCTTCCACACATAAACAATGCATCATTCCCTAGCACCTATAATATTCTCACATATGAGAAGCAATTTAAATTTACGTAACGTTATTTTAATAATGAATGTATCTAAAATAAGTCTGTGCTGCACCTAAATATATTTTTCTTTTCACTGTAAGCAGCATGAGTGTCTCTTAGTGAAATTTTTAGTTTTGAAGATTTGGATTTTGGTTTTGTTGCTTTTTTGTTTGGTTTGGGTTTTTTTTAATATAAAAGGAATTTATCAATATATGCAAAATGTAAATCTACAGCAAAACATTTTATGGCAGAGATGTGTAAATAAACTTCCCAGTTCTCTAGTTTTCATCTGCATCTCCCAGGTCATTCTGCCTGTATGCTGACAGTGAGCAATAAAGCAGGCAGGATGTCAGTTAATAAAATTAAGAGAACTGGACAAATGAAAACTGCTACATGTATGAATTAGAACTATTACTACAGCCCAAAGCTGCGTGTAAAGAAATCTCCAAGGTGAACAAATTATTTCCTTTTCAGAAGACTTCTAGAAATCAGGCTGTGGTACTTTAATGCTGCTGCAATCGAACTAGAACATCAAACGACTCATCAACTATCTGAGCATGGATTTACTGCGGAAGCCAGCTAGACACACTTCCCTGGTGAGATGTCCCTGCCTACAGGCTGCACACTCACCTGCAGCGAGTGGGCTCACTTCCCCAGAAGATACAGAAACCTGTCAGAGAGAATCTGCAAGGTGCAGAGCCTGGGATGGGACAGTATGTGCCTCCATAGCTGCTGCCTGAAGTGGGTAGCTGTGCCTCGCGGGAGCAGGAAGTGGAAGGATGCCACCCAACCCACTGAGGGGGAGAGGGTTGGGGCTGCCCCAGTCACTACAGTTCTACACCTGCACCCAAACCCTGACTTCAGCCTGAAGGTTATTGTCTTACCAGTATCAGTATTTTAACCCCATGCTTGTTAGAGCATCGTGTGCATCCAAGAAAAAAATAAATAAAAATCAATCTACTCTTCTCTGAAATAGGATACACGGATTTCAAGAAGAGGTGAGGATCTATTTATTCCAAACACTCACCAAACGAAGCCTGTGAACGAGGGCACTTACGTGTTATTTATTATCTGGAACCGTTCACCTTTCTTAAATGAAAGGTCATCTGTAGTTCTAGCTTCATAATCATATAAGGCCACAAATACAGTAACACCACCTTAGGAAAAAGAAAAAAACCCGTATGATATAGCAATAATGTTGCAACACTTGATTTAAGGGCTTGTCTGTAAAATAACTCATCAATTTTGACTGGGAAGCAACTAAACACCGCAGGTTGCATCTCATTTTGGAAGCCAGATCAATAAGCAGCTCATTTCTTAAAACAGAGGAAAGCCTATAAACAGATAACCTAAAAATATGCTTCTACACCACAAAAGGCAGCTAAATACATCACTGGAAGTACATTAATATTTAGAGCAGTTATATACAGAAACCTGCACAGCACACCAGCAGTAAAAAAAGCCAGCCTCTTGGTAAGAAATGCAATTCTAGAAGATCCTACAATACCACAAGGGTGAACCATGAGCCATTAATTTTTACAGAAGTAGTTTCCTGTCGAACATAGTTATAACTAACTGATGTATTCCTAACTTTCTGAGGTTATACATCAAGATCCACTCAAGGAATTGAACCAGAAATAAAAGTATTCTGCTGGGGACAAAGACATTTCTCTGTCACAGGATGAGCAACTCTGCCAACTCTAAGGAATTTGCTTGCCCATCCCACTTCTGGTACAGGGCATGTTGTTGAGCCTGTCTGTGCTGGATTTGGCTGGGATAGAGTTAATTTTCTTCATAGTAGCTGGAACTATGTTTTGGATTTGTGCTGGAAACAGTCTTGGTAATACAGAGATGTTTTTGTTATTGCTGAATGGTGCTTACACAGAGCCAAGGCCTTTTCTGCTCCTCACACCACCCCACCAGCAAGCAGGCTGGGGGTGCCCAAGAAGTTAGGGGGGGGGACACAGCCAGGACAGCTGACCCCAACTGACCACAGGGATGTTCCATACCATATGGCATCATGATCGGCATATAGAGCTGGGGGAAGAAGGAAGAGAATATGTTGGGAGTGATGCAGCTTGTCTTCCCAAGCAACCAGTTCACATGATGCAGCCCTGCTCTCCTGGAGATGGCTGAACACCTGCCTGATCATGGGGAATGGTGACTGAACTTGCACATGCCACTTTTGCTTTACCTGTTAAACTGTCTGTATCTTAACCCATGAGTTTTCTCACTTTTACCATTCTGATTCTCTCCCCGCATCTCACTGTGAAAGGAATGAGTGAGTGGCTCTGTGGAGCTTAGTTGTCAACTGGGGTTAAACCACAACAATGTCCCACAAACAGGTTACACGTGTGACGGATGGTAGGGAACATCCTATACTTACGGTAGGGAAACTTATACTGTAGTTAAAAGGACTAATCTATTTAACTGGGCTAAAAGAGAAAGAGGGAAAGGAAAACAAGCTATATGAGATGTAAAAGATATGAGCGAAAATAAAGAACTATGTACCATAACTAGGAGAAAGTTAAAATAGGAAACTGCAGATAGGCAATCTGGAAAGACTTTTTAAGCTCTAGAAATGGTATTTCACAGTCTAATGGACATTTAGGAAGCCTAATGATAGTCTAAAGCAATAACTTATTTTTAAATGTATAATATTACACCTCTAACATGTGCATATATGTACCAGAATACACACGGAAGACCAGCAACAGAAACATGCTGCATCTAATTTCAGATTGCATCTAATTTTAGATCTCATAATTAACATGACAGTGATCAGAAAGGAAGAATACATAATGCAACGGGTATTGTCTACATCTAATATTCTTTAGCATGTACGCTTTCTGACATAAAGAGCTCCTAATCATTTAAATATTTTAATTTGATTTAGAGTCGTCTTCTGATTACAGTCTCTCAGCGGGTATCAGCCAGAAATGAATTTTCAGTTCCTCTAGGAAAAAACAGAACAAAAAATCCCCACAGATGGTTAGAGTAACTGAGGGGGGTTTTTTGAAGTGTGATTTATGAACTGAAAATTAATTAGAATACTCCCTAGAAGTTAACAGTTCCTAATCTAAGTTAGAAAATCAACAGAGTTCTATCAATTTTTGCCTGCATTACTACATCACTGTGTTATTTTGATGACACAAACTGCTACACAGAGCAAGAAAACTGTGGTGATACATACCACATTCGCACAAACAGAAACCAAGTGTTGTGGAAATAAACCATCCCTACAGAGCTCTTCAGCAAATGAAAAGAAATACTCTCAAATAACAATACTAGGAAAGTTTTTAACTGTATATAAATTGTGAGACTCCATGAACCTGGAAACAAACTGTACAACATCTAGAAAGATACTAATGTGGGAACAAGAGAGAGAGTAATTCCTCTAGAGTGTGTGACACTACTCAGAAGTAACGGATTCAAATATAAACCATGCAATAAGAGAATTATCAGTAATTATCAATATTTGTGTACTCTTAATTATTTGTAAAGAAATAATTGGAAAAGCTACCTTACAATCCTTGGAGTTTTGATTTCAACACTTCAGCTATCATGAACTCTCTTACTATGCTCACACACAAGTGTTACCTATTTCGTAGCAAAGAATAATAAAATACTTATGGAGAACAGCACCAGCACAGAGTGTTTTAAACAAACAGATACTGCTCAAATGATTTCTGAAGTCTCTTGCAGCTGTTTTCTTTGTGAATCACTGCAAGGTGATTTAGTTCAGCTGTTCAAGCTATTTGCGGTCATAACATTTTCCCTTAAAGGTTATCCTTTCATTAGATCAGTATTCCCATCCTCTTATCTAGGAGTGATTTTAGAGAGAAGACTTTGCTTTCTTGTTCAGCATGAGGATTACAAAGCATTAGCGTTTACATACTTTCATAGAAAGCAAGAACAGTGGTCTAGTTTTCTGCTTGATTTTCAGTAATATTCTATGAATTTGAAGTATCTGATGACTGAGAATGTATACTACAGGGGAAGTGTGACTAACTCGGATTTATTCTCCTTTTCTGCTCTAGAGGAATAAAAGATGGCTCAACTCTTTTCAGGCTCACTACAGGCCACGATGACAACCGTATCATCTTTTTGTCAGACATTACTGAAGGTCTAAGTACTACTGACACTTATGTGCTGTTCAACAAGCCCATCAATTCTCCACTCTCGCAAATCAAAGGGCCACAGAATGCAATCCAGTGTTTTATGTGTCACAAATATAAAAAACTTACAGCCAGATGAAGTTTGTCATCTTATTCATTCACAAAACCACCCAGTTTTGACCGATCTCAAAATTGGTACTGAATGTAACAAGCAATTGCTGGTGCATTTCTTATTTATTTATTTTTCAAGTGTGTGTTTGTGGATAGGCTGGTTTTACAAACTGAGGAGGCATAATTACATATGCAGTATCATTTTACCTGATTGCAAAATTATGTCTGCTGATAACTGAATTCACACTGATGAGATACCTTTTTAATGCAAAATCTCTCCTGCTGATTCTGGTCCAAGATATGATATGTTTAACTACCAGC